ATATAACAATAGAAATATAAAAAAAGCTAACCCCATACAAAGTATAATTTGATTTTTTAAGTAGTATTAAGACTTTTATCCAGGCTGTTATCTAGTATACAATTTTAAATTTTTAATGTAGTTGAGTGACAAGTATTTGAATACTTTTTACTGTATTCGAATACTTTTCAAAGTAAGATAATGAAATACTTTTCAAAATATTCGAATACTTTTTATAGTATTCGAATACCTTTGATAGTATTAGAATACTCTTGAAAGTATTCGAATACATTCTAACAAGTATTTGAATACTTATTTTTTAAAGTATTTGAATACTTTTCAATGTATCTGTATCTAGCATTCGCTTGTGCTGGACGTAAAAGTATTTAGTATTCAAATACTTTTTGAAAGCTCTGATTGTGGCGATAGAGCATAAAAAACTATATTGGTATGCAAATTTTTAAATTAATATTATTAATGAAAGTCTAAATACCTTTAGGTAACGGTTTGCAGAAAACAGCCTGTATAATGGTTATCAAAGAAATGAAATATTAAGGTTAAATATGACAACGTTTAGGGAAATCTAGTTGATTAAAAGCACTTCCCATAGGTGCCTATACTGAGGATCCTATGAGATTCTCACATCTTGTGTGTCACGAACCACAAGTGAAATTCGATCGGGATTATACCTGGTGTCCAGCCCGAAAATGTCACTAATTATTTGTAGTACGCCTCTTTTTTTGTACCAAAGAACATGCCTTGTTAAATACGTTTTGAATATTTTAACGTCTATTCCTGCTGGATCGAGCACTGGATACGACAATAATTGTCGATGTTTTTATACGATTGGTAACAAAAATTTAAAATCTGTTCCCAAATATTCTCTCTCGTTTCTAAAGAGTGGTAAGAGGCAAGGTTAGTAAACTTAATAGGTTGCATGGTAACTTTCGGCCAATAGGGGACCACGAGCGTGTGACGTAACTTTGTGCAAATCCATTTTAACAGCTAAACACTGATTTTCAAAATTTTAATTAATTCCTCCAGTTTTGGATATTTTCTATATTAATTGCGTTCTTTCAAGAGGTACATATATAAGTTATGATAACATACATACATTTCTGTGTTGCGATGTGTGGTTATGAACATTTACATCAAAGTTGAAAGTGGGAGTATGTTTCCTTTTACTCCTAAATTGTTATAAAAAATAAAAACAAAGCCGTTAAATGACGTTTTTTATAAAGTTCTATGCCTATTACCTTTTAGGATATGTCAAATTGCTAACAAAGTGTCGTAGTTTCTAAAAAAAACACTACAGACAGGAAATGGTTTTCTGACCACAAAGGCTAGTGTAATTTATGAAACAAGACTTACGAATACATAAAGCAATTCTACCCGAGTACCAGCACGGAATCCTCTTTTCCTGGCATATTGTAAAGTATGAGAAAGTGAGCGTTCACATATGTGAATCATAGTCGGGTAACTGATCACATGTTAAATAAATACTAATAATCCTAATCAGATAAACTACTTCACAGTCGGTAAGTAATCACTAGCAGATTTAGTCTTACATTATCCTTATTCAAACTCCTGAATTCCTATCTATTAATCATTAACTACGGTCTTATCTAATTTACAAGATTGTTAAATAAGTACATGTTATTCTTAATAATTAATTAATTAATAATTCAGTACTTCACTTAATGTACAGATTAAAATTTATCATTATTTTGTCAAACATTATTAATTAGTGACTATAGTATAAAATTTAAAAGTTAATAATAACACATGAAAGCACAAATACAAAAATTAATTAATAGTTTTCCTTATTTTACATTTTCTTTTTCTTTCAGCACCTTCAGAACTTCTTTTTCTATCAGTACATTCTCTTTTTAAATTTAGATATTTAATTCTAATAAAAATTCTTTGCTTCGAAAATGATTTCACTAATTCATATGGAACATCTATTTTTTTCTTTTGCAATTTTTTGATAATGTAGTTTGTTGTCCTTTTAATAATTATTTTACCTGGAGAAAAATTATCTTTGTGGAATTTAATAAAGTAAGTTTCCATAACTTGCATCTGACGCATCCACTCAGCCGATGGCTGAATCAGACCCCCGAACGATAGACTTTGTACCCATGAGGGCATGGCGTAAGAATGTAAATTAAGAGCCTCTTCATCTTTGTAACTGTGCCCACCTAGGTATGGGTATTTATGTATAAATTTCTTAGCAATAAATCCTGCTAAATATTGAGTACCATCATCTTCCACCCAAGATTTTCTTAATGGGGCATCAGAAGCAGTACTCTCCGAACTGAAGCTTTCATTGAGTTCGGTTTCTTCAGTACTAGATGGTTCTGTTACCACCAAATTTTTAAGTTGGGCCTGCTTGACAGCAGCAGCCATCAAGTACTCTCCATCCATTTCCTTTGGTATTTCAACATTGGAATGCGTTTGGACCATTCCTGGATTTTTCCCTAATAAAATCATCCGTACCCGGTAAATTGCATTTAATGGCGAAGGGTGGTCATGTAAACCACCTTTTGTTCTTAACTGAAAAGTAATAAAATTAGAAAATTATTTATCATAATTCGTATACAAACCTGGGAAAAAAAGTTCTCTAGGCAGTCCTGGTTTAAGCGGTGAGTAAGTAAATATGAAATACCATGCCTCTCTTTCAAATCAGTAAATAGGCACTGTAGTGACTTTGAAGTTATTAGGATACCCTTTTGAAACACCTGGAGGGCGTTTTTTCCAACACACCTCATTCCTTCAATAGTTTCTTCCATTTCATTAAGGCATTTATGTTGCATTTCCAATTCTAAACCATACGGCTTTTTTGTTGGAAGAGAAGCAGTTGAGGTATATGAATTTAATACATCAAACCAGTTATTCACAAGTTCGGTAAAATTTCCTACATTTTGGGCTAATATTGTATCGTTCCCAGGCCTATAACGCTTCAAGGCGGTTGCGGTGGTATGTGAAAGCAACTGACAGGCACGTCTTACATTCTGTCGCTGCGCTTTTTCACATTTAACATGCTGAGTTGTCAGCCTGTGGCACGAACTGATTTCGGAAACTCTCGACTCAATAAGGGCGACAAAGGGAAATTTATTTATGCTAACACCATCACTGGTGACAAAACCAGTATCAATCAACCAGTTGCGCAACAATTTCATTAGATGGGGGGCGTCGGCAAAAAAATAAACTGAATTACCAGTAACAGGATGTGCTATCGACGTGTTACTTGTTGTAATGTTTAGTTCCTTCCACAATCCTTGATTGCCGCCTCCACAATCTGATACACAAGCAATAACCTCATACTTGATAGTGTGAAGATGGGTGATGATATTGTGTAAAAGTTGCTTCGTCATTTTTTGGTCAAATCCAATATATACTGGTTGCTTCCAGTTGTCGAAGAGACCTCTAGCCATGACAACCTGCATATATGAAAATGGCCCAATTACCTCCTCCTCTTTTTGATCATATTCGTATTGTGAGGATATTTTTACTTCATCGTATGAGAGGACAGTAATTCTCTTCAAGGGTGTTTTTATTTGGCCAGCGGTGTCCATAATCCTCAGTACATCATCTAATATCCCATTTTTTAGATTTATATTTGCGGCCCATTGCTGTAGTGTTGAAATGGCAGGCAATGGGTAATGAAGAGTTTGTCTTAAATAGATGTATGCCCTTTTACTAAAATATCTTAACGTGAAAGCCATCGATAGTTCTTCTTGTGTCCAACGTGCCTTTGACTTTTTCTTTAAGGCGATGTCCACTTGATTTGAAGTAAGAACATCCTTAAAACATTCCTTCACCCTCTTTTCAAATTTTAAACCACCTAATTCCTTTAGTTGCATTTCCATTGCAGCAATTTTTTGTTTCAACTTTTGCTCACTTTCTTGAAACAATTTTAATTTTCCTGTCAATGCCTTATTTTCTTCCTCAAGTTTGACTACCTGGCTTTTAAGGATGTTTATCTCATTATCACGACTGTCCAATACCGTCCCTGAGATATTAATGCTGGGTGATTGTTCAATTGGTTCAACTATCGGTGAAACTTCAATCGCAGCAGTAACTTCTAAGCTTGGTTCTTGAATCAACGCTTGTACTATTTCCTTTCCTTCTCGTCTTGCAGCTCTTTCTTTTCTAGAGGACTCAGTGATAGTTTCTTTACGAGAAAATGGTAGATACAATGATGGTATGGCTGCAAAAATTATGAGGGATAGCAAGACATCGGATATTTACAACATTTACCATCTATTTTTAGTTTTTTGGCAGGAATTCCCATTATATTAGCCATCACTTCATCCTCGTAATCACTGGGCTGAAAATGCTTACTACAAATCTTTTCTTTCTTCGTATCAAACTTATCTCTTTGGTAGCATTTTTGTACCCATTGTTTTTGTACTACCAGGTTTTTGGGGAAACTGAAAAATTTTAGGCTTTCACCTGTGACCTTACGCCTGTTACTTTTGCAGGTTGCCACACTGCACATCATACCTCCCGACATCTAAAAAAATATTAACGTTAGTTACATTGATATGTAAGAATGTCGAATCTTGATTCGTTCCAACAACGGGCAAGAAAAACTCTTTTCCCGTGAAAGCTATAATATGATTCGACAGACATCGAATATAAAGTTTAAAAGAAGTACAGGTTACATGTATGTATATTTTCCAGCACAGGAGAAGACTTTTTTGCACGTGCCTTGATTAATAAGTATATTAACTGGTATGTAGAACTTACCTTTACCTGATCTCACAATGAAAACAAGTTTTAAATATCACAAAAGCCAATTTAAAATGGTTTCAAATTTAAATCTTGCTGCCTTAAATACAGTTCAATGGCTGTCACTTGCACACTGTGACGTCATTCGTACTTCGGCCCCCTCTCTTCGTTATGGTTGCTAGTAGTTACCATGCAACCTATTAAGTTTACTAACCTTGGGTAAGAGGCCATTAATGATAATAGTTTTTTAAGTAATCGAGTGTCCACTGAATAGGTAGTCAAGGAAACAAGAGAAGTGATAAAAATAATCCATAAACGTCAAAGTGTCCATAAATAAAGTTAATGTGCCAATGGATTATCACGAAGACACTCTCGAACTGTTCCTAGGTTTCGTCGGAGCACTTGTGACCGTAGAAATTTTGCAGTCGTTTATAAGGTACTACTGGTCGTCATTCTCCAAACGTGCCACAATGGTACTCGTGGGCTTGACACTGGGTATCATTGTTAAGATACAGCCTACTCTTTGGGACGTTATACTGCAAGGACTGAGCTATGAAATGGCAACGGTGGAATTACTAATGGTACCTTTCTTTCTGTTCAAGTGCGCGTTTAGCATAGACGCTCACATGTTTTTGCGGTCCTGGGCGCAAATCGCTATAGTTGCGGTGCCGGGAATGATTATCTGCGGATGCGCAACCGGTCTCACAATGAAGCTGTTGCTCATGCGGGAGCATTGGAGTGTGTGTACGTCAATCGCTCTTGGAGTACTTATTTCTTCGACTCAGCCCTCAGAAGTGGTGCATGCGCTTAAAGACGTAGGGCGAGCTAAGCAGTTGAGCACATTGCTGGAAGGGGAATCGGTTATTGGCACAGGTACGATGTTGATAGTTCTTACTCTACTACTCCAAATAGTTCATCATGACATCGTGAACGCTTCCGAATTTATTGTAATGTGTTTGCGCCGTTCTCTGGGGGGGATGCTTTTAGGGGTAATTGTCGCGAAACTGCTGATTTTTGTGATGCGTGCTATTTACAGCGACAGCGCCAGCATGATGACCTTAACGTTAGCAGTGCCTTGTCTTGCTTATCAAATTGCGGATTATTATCTGTCCGTGTCTGGGGTAATCGCCGTATGCGTACTAGGGGTTATGATCGCTGGAGAAAGACATAGACTCTCAAGCGAAATAGACCATTCTCTACTGGCCTTCTGGAGTTTCGTTGGAAATGTTGTGAACTGTTTGAGTTGCGTTTTGTCTGGACTTTTTACTGTGCAACTTATAACGAATGAAACTGCCATGTACGACTGCTCACTGATTGTGGTCACATACGTGGTTTCGCTATGCGGCAGAATTTTGACTTACGCCGTGCTAACACCCATCATCAGTAGAACTGGTTACGGTTTCACATTCAAAGGGATGATCATCGCAATTTGGAGCGTAATGAAAGGGCCAATTCCCTTTATAGTGGTTTTATATATGTATACTGAACTAAAACTTGAAACACAAGTCAGGAGGGACATGCTATTACTTGTTTCCGCTTTACAAGTACTGACCGTGCTAATAAACGGCCTGAGTGCGCCCTTTCTTTTGAATGTGTTCGGAATTTCCGAAATGTCTCAACTGAGGAAGATGAACATGAGTTCTTGCATGCGCCACGTCCAAAAACGAAGGATTCACACTATCGCCGCAACAAAACTGAACAGGTACCCATTGACTCGCACGTCGATAGTAAACTTGCTGTAGATTTTTAGCCGATGTGAACTGGAGGGTGGTTTACCAAGTGACCCAAATTAAACACCCCTACGAACAGGTAGTGCGACCGGATGAAGACTATGGCGATGAGGAGACCTACTCAGGATCGCGCCCGATTATCTGTCCTGACTGCAAACACGAGGTACAGTATGAGCCTACCAAGCGAGACCAGAAGGAGATGTTAAGGTAACCCATCGTTTGATCGTACTCAATACCTGAATCGGTTTATAGGGAGGCAAGGGTCAGAATACTAAGGTCTAAGAAGATGTCTTACATCCGTCAGTATCAAAACGGAATGCTCAGCGCGGATAGCATTAAGATCTTGTGCCAAGCCATTGAAGTTGCCATAAACACGCCGGATGCGGTGATTGAGTTGGCCGGCTTACACAAGTACTTCAAACGACAGGTAGAGTCACCTGGGTCCGTTAACTTGCCCCCCCCCCCTCCACTGAGAGATTTGATAGTCGTATTACTTTGAAATGAATGCGCTCGTTATGCGCTCATATGCGCCACCGATAATAACTCTTGCGCCATTATCGTTTTTTAGAAATCCGAAAAAACATTTGGGGGGGGCCAAGTGAACGTAGCCCCCCCCAGTACGTATTTTGTCCCTTGTAACTAGGTCACCTGATACATTTGGTTATGCGCTCAATTGCGCCACTTGAATTAAAGCTAGCGCCATTACGGTTAAGCCATAAAAAATTTTTAAAAAGTGGAGGGTCTAACTTAGCGTTTTCAAAAGTTACGTTTTTTAACATGTTTTTTCTACTACATCGTACCTTTCATCATGCGCTAAAATGAGCCGTAAACATAAATCTTTGCGCATTATAGTTTTTGAGAACCTTTTTTTAGTACCTATAGAACTATAACGCTATTCATTTTAAGAAGGTAGCGGTAGAAAGCATAGGGACAGTTTGACCTCCACTGTGATTGGTTAAAACACGAGTCACTATTACCCTGAAAAATAAAACGAGTGACGAATTCTGTCTGTTAGAAGTTTCAATTACGAACTAAATTGTCGAACTGTCATTAGCTGTCAATTTCAAAGATCCAAGCGTGATATCGTTTGATTTATAATTATATTTTCCAAATTTTGTGCCGTTTTATATTTTGTGTCGATCTTCAAACACAGCGCCATCTACTACCTTCTTATAATGAATACAGTATATATATGGGATGCGGAGAAGTTATGTTCTATTTGTGCAATTTTAACTCGGTTTGCAATAATCGCCAATAACTCATAGGTATTAACTTATTTGGTTTGGAGTTGATGCATTATGCCGCAATATAGTTCATGTATTAACGATCCTCGAGATTGTTTATAATTTTTTATGATACCTGAATCACAATATCCGTTTTAAACACTCAAACACGTGCTTTAAAGTTGCTAAGTAACGATACTTCAAGTATGACTTTTGAAACTGTCATCAGGGGCTGAAATAAAAATCCTCTTAGGTCGCTTTCTGTAAATGCAAAACATTTCTTTGGCTTGTACCTACCTATCCTTTGCTTGAACCGTTCACAAACGCGCGTAATTTAGGGTATGCTTCCAAATCTCTTCCACTTTTTAATCGTAGCATTGTTTGAAGTTTTGAATGAATGCACCAAAAGAGAGACCTTTGACATTTCCTTCATATAAGCCAGCATTATCGATGCATTTCAGACATTATTCGGAAGTAGCTACCTATTCATCCATGGAAACAACTGTTCATATTCTTTATAATAGGCTTTACTGGATTTGGATTTTACATCTACCAACGTTTGTTTAGATTTTACAACAAGCGGTTTAATGGACGGTGTATTATCTTTTTCAACGGAAATCGTTTTATTCACAAAGACAAGGAATTTTATAAGCAAACGTCAACTGACATTTCTATGGCAATCGTGAAATTACAAACACCCACCCCACTGAATTAGACATGTATCCGAGTATAACGTCAATATGATTTCATTGTATTTCCTATTTTTAAATTATACTGAAGGTATAATAAAAAAGACTATAAGATACACGTGTATAATTGGTCTTTAAAGCACTTGCAACGTTAAAGGCACTCCGCTTCGCGTCGTGTTTTAAAGACTTGATTATACACTTGTATCTTAATATACTATTTTACTGCTGTATGTCTGCCCTCTGCCAGTCTGCCTGTGCATGATAACTTTGTTTAAAAACGTCCTCGTCGCTTTGAAAATTGGTACATATGGTCTTAAGGATATAAGAAAGGTCGCTATTGTCTTTTAGTTACGTAGACTAACGGACCAAACAGTTACAGCCCAAAAACTGCTCGAACTTTCAAAGAATGGTATCTTTTATAATAAATTCGTGTTACAAAGATCATATAAATGCCCGGTTTTCTGTGTCAGTAAATATTCATTAAACCTCAAACAATTTTGAAGATGAAAAAATAATATTGCGCATGCGCAATCTAATTTTTGTATTTAATAATAATAATAATAAATGACTTTAATAGACAATTTCTATACAGAGCCTGTCTAAATGGCGGAGTTCAGACAGGGATATCATCCGTGTCTGCTCTTCCACTCAACCTTTAATTTATTTTATGTTAGTGTATTAAACTAGACAGGTCATGATACATACAAAAAGTGAAACAAAAAATGGAGTACTACATTTAAAACTCAAGAAACAAGAATTTGACAATTAAGATGTGGGTTACAAAGTAAGCTGTTAATTGTTTTTAACACGGAAATATTTTACATATTTATTATGTTTTTAGGAGGAGTCGACGAACACTAACTTTGAATTTGTTCAGATAAATGAAATTGTATGTACGCACCTCGAGTAATGTAATAGGAATGCGGAGAAGTCAAAGGTACTATTAAGACGATGGATTAACATCCATACGTGTTATTTGATTTGATCGTCTGTTAATAGTAGTAATAGTAATAGTAAGAAAATGGTCATTCCATTAAAAAAACCTGAGTTTTTAATCATTGAAGTTTCATAATTTTGGATCTCCATAGGTGCGGTTGTCCGCAACTTAACTTTTTTTAAGTACACTAAATGAGAGCCCTATTCATTCTCTATGCACTGATAAAAATGGCTTGCTATAACTACAACCGTTTTCAAGTAATCAATTATCAAAGTACCATCTCCATCCGCCTTTTCTTTGCTTAAAGTCAAAATAACTTAAAAACCATAAATGGTAGATATAGACAATAGACATGTGGATATCAAAAGAACTGAAATTTCACGTAGAATCCAAAAATGTAATAAAAAATAGGGGTTACCATTCAAAATAACGAAGTTACTAGCCACTTCCGTTATTTCCGGAAGTGCGTCCATTTTGAAAATATTTTACATCGATTCGGCCTTCGGAGTAACTCCTAAGTACAAGTTTTTAAAAACCTTCCTATTTTACTTTCCCAGAAAAGTTTAACTAAAGCTCCCAAAAAAAACACCCTGTATAGTGTTTCTGAAACACTATAATGGCGCAAAGATTTTGGCTTACAGCGCATTTTAGCGCATGATGAAAGGTACGATGTAGTAGAAAAAACATGTTAAAAAACGTAACTTTTGAAAACGTTAAGTTAGGCCGCCCCCCACTCTTTAAAAATTTTTGATGGCTTAACCGTAATGGCGCTAGCTTTAATTCAAGTGGCGCAATTGAGCGCATAACCAGATGTATCGAGTGGCACAAATATCGGTAGCAAAATGCGTTATGGGGGTTTCCGTTCACTTGGCCCCTCCCAAACATATTTACGGATAACCAAAAAACAAGAATGGGGCAAAGATATCTTTTTACGGCGCATTTCAGCGCATACCTGAGAGTACGATTTCGTATGAAAAGATGTTAAAAAAAAGTAACTTTTAAAAACGATAGGTTGGCCCCCCCCCGCTTTTTGAAAATTTGTCACGGCTTAACCGTAATGGCGCTAGCTTTAATTTAAGTGGCGCAATTGAGCGCATAACCAAATGTATCAGGTAACCTAGTTACAAGCGACAAAATACGTACGGGGGGGGGGGGCTACGTTCACTTGGCCCCCCCAAATGTTTTTTCGGATTTCTAAAAAACGATAATGGCGCATATAGCACATAACGAGCGCATTCATTTTAAAATAATACGACTATCAAATCTCTTAGTGGGGGGGGGGGGGGGCAAGTTAACGGACCCGAGTCACTTCGGTATCGCAACGCTTACTTGACACCTTTTAGAGTTTCTTCAATTATGTTTGTAACAAATTTGTTGTACCTTGGCTGCGAGGAAACGTTTTAAAGGTACAACCTCCTCGCAAACGTTGGAGGCGGGCGTGCTACTGGCTGATTAACCATCAGATTTTCGACTTTTTCCTTTACTTTATCATTGTATGCAGTGCAGTTACGGTGATGGTGGAACTGTTTTACAATCCACCTTGGCTTTCTAAGCCAAGATACGGTCTAATTGCATGCAATACAATATTATTTAGTATATTTTTGGCAGAATTTATTCTAAATATATATGCCTACTCCTTCATATACGTCTGTAAGGATGGTTTCAGGACATATTTCCGGTAAGTTCTTTTGCACCTTGATCTGAACATTAAATATTATTCTTTTAGTACAATTTCGAAGGTTTTCGAATTCACAATACTTTGCACCCAGTTTACTGACCTAATTCTAGACTACGTTTTGTTGTTTCTAATAGACCACCACAATTATCTCACTCATGTCAGTCTGGGATTAAAGGTTTTTCGGTTAGTCCGACTTGGCCGGTTGTTTGGAGTATGTAGGCTTTGGTACCCCAACATGATACGGTACTTCAGTTCCAAGGTGGATGCGCGGTTAGCATTTGCCTATGACATTGGAAAGGTGCGTCATAACCGAGAGGTACCTACTGTCATAATGAAGTGATTTAGGGTTACGTAACTGGCGAAGAGGAGGTGGCAGCGTTGCTTTCGCAAATGATCGATCATAAAGATATCAGAGAAAAATGCCAAGCGCGACTCGATGCTGACCGGCTTGCCGTTACCAAAGAGTTGGGAATCATCCAAAAGGACAGACCTTGGATCGCCGTCACCGTTAAAACCAAACAAGCGGTGAGATCCACGCTCAACAGTATGAACGCTACAGTCAACGACCTAAAGGCTCTAGGTAAACAATATATTGCCCGACCATCCTTACCACTGCACTTTTAGGGTGCTTGGACGATTACGAGTATTTCAAACTAAATCAAGCCGTTCAAGAACGCGTGAAATACGTTAACACTAAGATGGCGTCGGTCGAACCCCTCTCTCCTAAAGAACTACTAAGCGAAGTCCCTTGGATGAGTGACAAACTAATCTACCACTATCTATATAACAACGTCATTACAAAAATCTTTGATCCCGGTGATGTTGTGTGCGTAGATGGTGAGGTCATGGAAGGCATCTACATAGTCGTCACGGGTAACGCTCACAGTTTACGGTTTCCATTCACTGTCACGTTTCAGGAGTATTGAAAATGACTTACGTGCCGAACGCGCACACTTTAGAACGCCTTCAATCGTTTGGGATCTTGCCCATTATGGATTATATGTCCAACACAAAATTTGACCAAAGAATTGAAGAATATCTCGTTACCGGTAACAGCATCGGCGAACTTTGTATATTAACAGGTCGATCGTACGACTGTACAATAGTAGCCGAAACGGCTTCTCAAGTGTACCACATTCGTAGAGATATCTTGCTGAAAGCGTTAACTCTGACCAGGGATCCTATCAAAGGGTAATTATTGTCACACCGCTACCCCTCCGAAACCCACCTGTTTCAGACTGGAGGCGGAAATGTGGAAATTTGTTTCTCTTAAACTATGCGCGTCTGTTCTAATGGAAACTCCAGCTTACCAGTCGATCAGTTATGAACAAATTCAAATTCAACTACAACGCGGATTCGTACCAAATTTGTCTAAATACACACATTTAGACATTAACGATATGATGGAGGATCTGATTCTGATCGAAGGCATGGTTCTTTATCCGAACAGTGGCACGTACAGCGTGGCACCTTGCAGCATCCCCAGGTAAATTCTCGTTGTTCACTTTGTAACTTTTTGTTTACTTGCAGAACAGTACAAAAAATATACTTCCCCAAGAGTGAATTTCACGATTCCGAAACGACCGTGGATCCCAAGCTCATGATAATTCCCGCAAAGGATTTATCCAAGTTTCAATTTCAGACAAACAGAGACGACTTTCCCGAAATTGTCGGAATTTGCCCAATTGACTCGTTCACACCGCACAATCTGTTTTAGGTCTCCCAATCTTCCTCTCTATGTTTGCGCCACCACGTGATGGATAAGATTAAACGCGTTAAGACAAGAAGGCAAACCGATGGTTTTAGTACGGGCGACAGGATTAGCGTGAGGGGTACTTCGTGGATTAGCGTCGCTGGTTCAACAAGACACGGTTCCGACACTGTAATAACATACGTGGGCTGATCAGAAAACTATAATATGTTGCTGTTTTAGTCGAGCGAATGCATGCTACGTAATATAAACCTAGATAGTGGTTTTAGTTTAAACACTTACGGAAGCAATCTGAGTGTTATACCGAATCGCCCACAAGATGACACACATTGGCACGGAAAGGGTTCTGGGCCATCCAAATATTGAGTTGTTTTAGTTCAATAATTTAAGTATTCTGGTTTTCTCATTACCGCTTTTTATTGTCCACTGAATATTCTGAATCAAAGTATAATTAAGGTTAAGAGAGTGTTAACTGTTCTGCTTACCTTTTTTATGAGCTTGGTAGTTATTCGTTTGCATAGGGATGCATTATCCATCCACCTTTACAAGATTTTACCTTCCTACTCTTGTGTAAAGGCAGGTGTCACAAAAAAGTTTGCCCTAGGCAAACTGTAGGGTATGCCTTTACAACCATGCAACTTCGTAACAAAATAAATTCATTTATTTACTACTAAATAAAGAACTAAATATGCTTTGACATAGTTGGTTGATGACTGTGTCTTTATTTTAACCTTCTCTTTTTTTTTAAGATTCTTACTTTTAAAGCCTTCACCGAAGCGCTATCGTCTGATGCACTAAACGAAGAAGGTATATTTTTAGCGCATTTTTGAAAAAAATACACTATTATATTCCTTATGGCTGGCTGGCCGGCTGTCCGGGTGAGATATCGGCAGCTACAAATAGCTAGAGACTTCAAATTTTCACTAAAAGCTTTCTGCTATAGTGTAGATGTGCAGGCACTAGTCTATTTTGAGTTAGATTACTTGTGAGATCGATAATTGAAGAAAATTTCGATATGGTTTTCGGAGGTGCTATAATTTTACCGTTAGATAGCGTTACCAGTATAAAAAATTAATTATTTACTTGGTGATTTGTTTTACAAAATAAAGACGTACCTTCAATTGAAATTAAATAAAATTAATTATTTAACGCAGCCAAAATTACTCGTGAGATCGATAATTTTAAACTTCGCTAATCAGATACTGACTTGTATTGTCAAAAATGCGCCTTAATCATGCATACGCTGATTTACAACTTGTTTCCAATAATATCTACAAGAAAAAACCAAAATGAAATAAATGTATAGTGGTATAGATGGAAAAAAGGGGGATCTTGTTTTCCCTAAAAAGTGTACGAAGTACTACAAAGGTCTAAGTACTATCAATTATTAGTGACATCAAAGGGCTGAAAACCAATGGTATAATTTATAATTACTGATAAAAGTGGCTAATTTAGGGACGGAAAACGCTTCGAATCCCAAGGATTTCTTCTAATTCAGAGGAAATTGAAAATAATACAGCATAAATTTAATTACGTGGAGTATTTATTTATAATTAATTAACAATAAATTTATAACAGTCTTGAAATGAATTGATTTGTAACAATTAAGGTATTATTTATCACTCACATATGCACAATTTATAGCAGCTACATTCTACAACAACTATTTATTACTTCGGGGTTGAAATTGGAACTGTCTATCACTTCGATATGCTTATATAGCAATTGCCCGCTCTTTCTCGAAAGATCTGGAACAAATCTATAATGTTCTCGAGCAAACGCGTCATATTTAGTACTAATGGTTTATCAATTTAAGCGAAAGTCTAAAACCGAGGGGGTCTAGGGGGTATTATACTCCACAGGTAAATACATTCCAAGAAAGAAATATTCCGGTTAATCGTAATTGGAGTTCCAAAATCTCTTGCCTCCTAGGACATATACCTGTGTGTGGCCGGGGAGTATTCCATACCCCCTTACTCCCAGATCACGCGGTCCCCCTTCCATTCTTGAGGAAAGGGCAATCCATCGTCTTTCCACTCGAATGCGAGGTTGCTCTGGGGTTGAAGCGATAGACCTCGGTGCCATTACCACATCCGATCTTCGGAATTGACCGCTTTTTTGAATTCTCTAGGAATAACCCTACCTTTCATGCACATCAGGTGGTACAGCGATTCTGATTTGCTATTAAAAAGAAATGGTTCACTAAATTACTAGACGCCATTGTAGGAGGGTTAATTAATTTTATAAAATAGGTAGACTAGCCCGGAGGAGGTTTTTGGGGGGGGATTCCGCCTTTTGCCTTCCTAAAGTTCAGGTCAGAAAATATTCGGCCAGAGAGTTACAAGAAGAATTGGTCCGGAACCAAAGTTCTCTGTCGGGCACTGTTTTAAACGTTAATTTCGTGCGAGTTTTCCGAAAGGATTGCAATTAAATAGAAATTTTAAAGTGAACTAATTAAGTAAGGGTAGCTGTTATCGGCCGGGGGGCAATTTTAATTGATGTGTCTTTAAACGCATTAACAAAGAATTATAGCTCTTTAATTGCGCAACTAATTTGACCATCTTCGAATCTTCTATGGTTTTCGAGGTCCCCAGGATAAAGATCCTAATCCTAATTCGAATCTTCTACTGTAACGGTTGCTTCCAATTGGGTTCAGAGCTGAGCAGTATTCGATTTTGTAAATACTTTTTAGTATTCAAATCCTTTAAAGTATTCAAATACTTTGTAATTAAATACTTTTATGGAAGCAGTATTTGTATTTGTAACTCAAATACTTTCACAAATATTTAGTATTCGAACACTTCATAAAGTATTCGAATACTTCGCATTGTATTTGAATACTTAACCTTCCTTTTTTTTTACCAAAAATCGACTACTCCAAAATTTCTCGGGAAAACACTTTTTTTTATTAATTTTGGTGCGTAGAATCCAAAACAATTTTCTTACTTTTTCGATTAGACTTCTCAATCAAAAGTTATGGACTAGAAACCAATTTCGAAAGAAAATTTAAAAGGGCTGTAACTTCTGAACTAGTAGCCCAATCTTGGAACTGTTTCAAATTATGGATTCTACAGGCCACATTCTATAAGAAAATTTTTTTTCCGGGTCGATCTGAGACAATTTTTTTTCCAGGCCCCAAAAAAAGGCAGTGTAGGTACAAACCTTCCTTTTTTACCAAAAATCGACTGCACCAAAATTTCTCGGGAAAACACTTTTTCTTATTAATATTGGTGCGTAGAATCCAAAACAATTCGTACTTTTTCGATCAGACTTCTCAATAAAAAGTTATAGACTAGAAACCAATTTCGAAATAAAATTCAAAGGGCTGTAACTTTTGAACTACTAGCCCAATCTTGGAACTGTTTGAAATTATGGATTCTACAGGCCACATTCTATAAGAAAATGTTTTTTTCCCGGTCTACCTCAGACAATTTTTTTTTCCGGCCTCAAAAAGAGGCATTTAAGTTATTCAAATATTTGAGAACAATTTAGAAATGCTTAGGGAAAGTTTCCATTGTCACAAAATCAAATATAAAAATCCGATACATCTGAATACCGAACTCGATGGTCTACGTAACTTAAAAACAATAGGGACTTTTCTTATATCCTTAAGACCATGTGTACCAATTTTCAAAGCGATCGCACGTTTCTAAACAAGTTATCATGCACACTGTGTACTGTATACTATTTTAAATTTTTAATGTATTTGAGTGACAAGTATTCGAATACTTTTCAAAGTATTGGAATACCTTTGATAGTATTAGCAAAGAGTAACCATAATACTCTTTGGTATTAGAATACTTTTGAAAGTATTCGAATACTTTTCAATGTATCTGTATCTAGTATTCGCTTGTGCTGGACGTAAAAGTATTTAGTATTCAAATAGCTTTGATTTGTGTAAAGTATTTACTATTTAGTATTCAAATACTTTTTGAAAGTATTCTGCCCAGCTCTGATTGGGTGTAATTTTTTTTACTGAAGTTTAAATTTTCGATATTTTAGGTGTGCCCGTGGTGATAAGGGAATATGCAGGGTGGTCGAAGTAATAGTTAAAAAAAATGTAGATTTTTAGGGAAGTTTCTAGTTTTCATTTTAAGTTAAGCGATTGTTTTCTTCATGTCATTTCATTTGAGTTCCGTAACTTGTTGACTTGTTTATGGTTTTAGGAATTCGTGGGCTCGGAGGGAACAACAAATAAATTTTATCTTCATTGGTTTTGCGTGCTCCTATTCGCACGGTCATGGATAGGTCATCCACTGTATTGTGGGAATACAATTCAGCAGAATTTCGTGCGTGAGTCCTCTAGGATCAACCTACCTTTCGTACATTTCAGGAGGCGCGGCGATTCTGATTTGCCCTTAAAAAGAAATGGTTCACTTCATTATTACTAGACGGCAGTTTAAAAGGGGTGTTAATTACTTAAAAAAGAAGTAGGGATTGATCCGGAGGAAGTTTTTGGAGAGATTCCGTCTGTGTCCTTCGTAAAGTTCGGCTTATAAAATATTCGAGTTTAACCTGCCAGAGCGCAACAAAAAAAGACAAGGACAAGTTTAATTGGTGTGTCTTTAAAACGCGCTAACAAATAATTATTGTTAACGGTTGGACGAAAATCAATTTCTCTTCCTAAATTAAGAGGCGGTACCGGAAACCTTTGTCCTATTCTGTTAGTGTCAAAATGTGTACCTATATTTGAAATAACAACATGAAGCGGCCTACCTTCTATTTTGTAATTTGAATTGTAGCCAGACCGTGTACCAAACGATGAAATGTACAAAAATCGCCCTTGTTATTCGAAATTTATTTGCGTGCTGGGAAAGGTTAAATTTGTTCAACTGCAATAGAGATTGTCCACCGGTGGTCGGTCGTAAAAATTCGCCAGATACCGTTGCGTCGTTGTACAATCTGGATCAACTATTGAAAAATATTGCACAAACGCCAATTAACAACGTAAACTGTATATTTCCAAACTTGCATCAAATGCAAAGCAGCTCCGAAAAAAGAGGGTAATTCAAATTTACATACTGTACTGATACGCGAACTTCACAAAGCAATTTATTCATCATTATTATCTAGATTGCAATGTCAATACTGCTTGAAATATACAATGCATCGATTGAATTTGGTATGCATGATAATGTATTCGATGCCAATAGCCGATTACATGTCTGTTTTTAGTGTGGATAATGAAAAATGGCTTATATGGTGTGCATTCGCCTGCAATTCATATGCGTTAGACCGAAATAAGCTTCTCGAGGAAATGAAAACTAAGTGCATCTCGGCGAAATGGTTTTGCCGATTTTCCATCTACCCTTTCAAATGCGGCTCCCCCTTATAAATTTTGTAGGAAAACTGAGTGTGACGGATACCTGATGCAAAGTAACATTTGTTGACCTCCTTATCGCAGGAATAAGGCATTAGGGTAGGAAA